GTAAACACTATTTGTTTACTTTAATTGTTACACTTTTTTGGCTGAAAATACTGCATGATTCAGGATATTTTGACAACAGAGAACATTTAATGCACAGTTTAACTTTAAATATAATATTATGACTTATGTTGGTCATTAGCAGTACTTTGTGTGTGTGTTTCAAAACTTGATCAGGTAACTTCAAGACATACAAAGCAGCTAAAAATACCTCTTTATTACTCAAGACATTTTTTATTGAAGTATTTAAAAAAAAAAAATTCAATATCTGCCTGAACTTAAAAAGCTGGAGGAGAACAGAGGTCGTATCACACAACTAATTCCCTCACCTTTGTCTTTATTTAAGTCTCTTTAAACAGTTGTTGAATTCATTTGAAACTTTGAAAATAACAAAATACAAAATAAACACTTTAGCCCTAGCACTTTACATTTCCATGCTTACTTAAATTCTTATTGCTTCAAAAATCAATTGTTAATGATTTAGTCAATTGGGTGCACCAGAAGCCTTTAATGCCTCACAAAAACAATATAGAATATAAAATGAAAATACTAAAAATAATTATCCATCTATCTATTGATGTAATTGTTATATTTCATTATTATCTGTTATATTGAAGTTTGTCTTCACAAACAAAGATACATTTTTTCAAAACTAAGATTCTTTGATTTCTGCAAAAAATAGAGATCTTGAGCTCTGTTGACGTCAGTTGGCTTTGGCGTGTGAATGACGTCACTACAGAGTTTGCAAGTAGACCCTGGTTCCTCTGCAGGTCACTTATTCTCATTTTACTGAGAGGGCCAGCCCGCAATCTACCCAGCAGACAATTTTACAGACAGCATCCACAGATAATCCAGCATTATAGAATTAATTAATAACATTATTCATTTGTTAGTTATTAACATTATTAATTAATTATTACCATGTCTCGAGCAGGAAGTTCTCTGTCAGTTAGGATGTCAGACATCGCAGTGGACGACATTCGTCCATTGTTTTTTTTTAAACAATATATTTATTGATTTTTTCAATTTTCACAACACAATAATGATGTAGCACATACATGACAAGAACATCATTACAAAGCAAAAAGACAAAACATGACAAAAAAACAAACAGCACAATCTCAAACATACACACATGTAGGTGGTTACAGGAGTACCACATTTATGATTGTTGATGAATTTATGATGACAGGAGATTCATGAGGTTCCTTTAACAATAATAGCCGACAATTCAGGTCAAAGGAAATCTAGGTAAGGCTGCCAGATTTGATAGAACTGATCAGATTTGGCATGTAAAACATTTGTGAGATATTCCAGGGGAACCAACTCAAATATAATGTTGCGCCTGTTAGGGCTGGGTCAAAAGTTCAGGACCTACAATGGCAGAGACCAGATGGATTCAGTCTTTTAACAAAGTTTAATAAAGGAAAAAAGGAGCAACTAAAAAACAATCCACAAAATGAAGGTGGATCTAGTTCACGCCGGTGGCGGCGGCAGGACTCAGGCTGGCTCGAGCAGACACTGGAAAAAACAAGGTTACTCTTCAACAAAAACAGCAAGAGAAAATCACACTAAGCTAGGATACTACGACGTTCAGCTCTACCGAGTGAGACGGAATTATCTGGCACTGGAGTGTAAACATGTTTTATGGAGGAGTTGATTAGATGAGTACAGGTGCTCCTCATTGTGAACCAGCTGAGCCTTCTAACGATCACCACACTGCACAGGAGAGAGAAGACAGAGGGGAGGAGGAGAAAGCAAAACACCTAAACCATAACAGCGCCAGCCTTTGAGAGATGGGACCTGATCCTTAGTCCACTGTAATAAAATATTTTTCCTGGCAGCAAAAGTAAGGACATTATATAATCTTCTGTTCGCAGCAGTAGGTAGTGATTTGACTGGTAGACCTACAATCAAAGACAGCGGGTCCATATCTAAATGTTTATGAAATATCTTCTCCATTTCAAGTAATATGTCAGACCAATATTTCTGAAGTTTGCAGCATGACCAGAAGCAATGGGTCAGGGTTCCTATTTCTGTTTTACATTTTAGACACATGGGGGAGAGTTTAAAACAGTGCCTGTAATTAGGGGAAATATGTATCCTGTGTATAATTCTCAACTGTATTGCTTTTGCTCTGGCACATATGGATATCTTTTTGGAATAATTCCAGACATCTTCCCATGTCTCCTCATCGATAGTCACTGACAATTCCCTCTCCCAAGCCCCTTTGACTCTTTGCGTATTATTAGGAGTCATACTTCCCATTACTTCATAAAACAAACTGAGAGACAATCTCCCTGGTTGACAGTACAGGAATTTCTCAATGACAGATACCTCCCTGTGATCTATAAGGGTTGTATTCTTGGTGATATAATGCCTGATCGGCAAAAAACGAAAGAAGTCGTGTCTAGGCAGCTGATACTTTGTCCTCAATTGATCAAATGACATGAGACAACTGTCATTGAAATCCCCCAATTTAGTTAAGCCTTTGTTACGCCACTGCTGAAAGCTAGGGTCCATTACTCCTGGCAAAAAGTCTAGGTTGTTGGTTATCGGGGTGAAAATGGAAGTCAATTTGACCCTCCCTTCCATACGGCGAGACGTTGCTTTCAAAGCATTAATTGTGATTGGGTTGGTACATTTTTCTTTTATGTTTTTAAAACTCCCAAAATACAGTAAGTCCTGTAGAGCACATTTTGATAATGAGGATTCAATATCCACCCATGTAGAAGAGACATCATTCTTTATCCATTGCGATATTGCTGTCAGGTGAGCACAGAGCTGATACACTTTAATATTTGGCAGGTCTAAGCCACCCATAGAGCCAGGCAGCTGCATCATCGGCATTTTTAGTCTAGGTCTACGTTTGTTCCATATGAAAGAGCTAAGCCAGCTGTTCAGATCCTTAAGCACCCTGTTTGAAAATAAAATATGAATCATCTGAATGGGATAAAGCAACCTGGGTAATACATTCATTTTAATCAGTGCTATTCGCCCAAGCCAGGAGATAGGGAGTGAGATCTAAATCTTGTTTTACCTTACCAAATAATGGAGTAAAATTGGCTTTGTACAGTTGATTAAATGACGGGGTAATAAATATACCTAAATATACAAAACCGGATGGAGACCATTTAAAAGGAAAGGATGGCATTGTATTTGGTATAGTCCTAAGACTACCCAGAGGCATAGCTTCGGATTTATTTAAGTTGATCTTATACCCAGAAAAGTTACTAAACCAATCTACCCTCTCAATGAGAGCTGGGACTGATATCTCAGGCTGGGATAAAAACACTATGACGTAGTCCGCATATAAACTTATTTTATGACATATCTCTCCAAGCTGCAAGCCATGTATGGAAGGCGTGGCTCCAATGATCTCAGCCAGTGGCTCAATGGCTAGCGCAAAGAGGAGAGGAGACAGTGGACAGCCCTGCCTGGTGCCTCTATGTGTTGGAAAGTACTCTGATCTTAATCCGTTAGTTACAACAGCCGCTTGTGGGTTGGTGTACAGTATTCTCATCCATTTCAATAATTTATTGCCAAGACCAAATTTGTCCAATGTGTAGAATAGGAAGGACCACTCTACACGGTCAAATGCCTTCTCTGCATCCATGGAAAGCACCAATCCATCTATAGAATCATTTTCAAAGGCCTGTATAACGTTCAAAATACGTCTTACATTGTTTGTAGAATTACGGCCTTTTATAAAATCAGTTTGGTCCTCTCTAATTAGTATAGGCAAAATGTCCTCCAAACGAGTTGCTAGAATCTTAGAAAGCAATTTCCGGTCTACATTCAAGAGTGCTATTGGCCTGTAGGAGGCACAAGATTCTGGGCATTTCCCCTTTTTTTAATATAAGAGATATGTTTGCTTTTTTCAAAGTGTGCGGTAATTCTGTCGTAGTAAATGAATGATTAAGCATTTTGAGTAATGGTTCTAGAAGCAGGCTGCTACATTCTTTATAAAATTCACAGGTTAGTCCATCTGGTCCTGGTGACTTTCCACTCTGGAGATTTTTAATGGCATTGATAAGTTCCTCTTTTGTGATTGGGCCATTAAGGAGGCTTCTTTGTTCCTCTGATATTGTTGGAAGATTAATCTTAGCAAAAAAGTCCTCCATTAAATGAGGTGCGTCCCTTGCCTGCTCTTAACAATACAAATCTGTGTAAAATGTTTTGAAGCAGTCATTTATTAATCTATTTTCATATATCCTGTTGCCTTCTGAATCAACAATGGATTGGTACTCTGCTTTTTTGTTTGGCAAGGTACGCAAGACATTTCCCTGGTTTATCACCATGTTCATAAAACCTTTGCTTAACATATCTAATTTTCTTCTCTGCCTCTTTAGTAAAGAGACAGTTTATAGCTGATTTGAGGGAAGATATTTCTTCCCATAAAGTAGGTGATGGTGAGTTGATGTAAGCTTTTACCTTGTCTGTCAGTTCAATTGCTAAGTTATTTTTGCTCTCTACGTTTTTGGGCCTCTTATGGCGCATTTCCACTGTAGCGGGTAGCCCCGTTTAAGCGTCCTTAACCGTCCTCAAGCGGCTAGGCCAGTTTTTGGTGGCCTTTCCATATAGCCTAGCACCGGCTAGCGGGTACTTTTCCCCTCTTTTTCCGGCCCCATAAAATCGTGGTTCTATCAGGCCAGGGCCAGAGCTGAACTAGTGACGTCAACACTCTCGACTGCTGATTGGTCAGAGAGAATCGTCACAAGATCGCGCGCGAGATCATCCCTAGCGTCGCATATCTAGAAGCAAGCTTGCAGCATTTTTATAAACAGCATTTTTGTAAACGGAGGAGCTACAAAAATGGCAACGTCGAAGAAAAGCACACCGTGGTCGACCGAGGAGGTGACGACGTTCCTCAATCTCATTGGGGATGATAAAATCCAGCGGGAGCTCGACGGAACAACTCGAAATGTGAAAGTGTTCCGGGATGTCTCTGCACAGATGTCCGAACGCGGATTTTCGAGGACTTTCCTGCAGTATAGGGAAAAACTCAAAAAGATGAAGAGTGAATATCGCCAAGTAAAGGACAACAATAACACGAGTGGTGCGGGTAGGAAACAATGGAAGTGGTTCGACTTGTTGGACCAGATTTACGGCCATAGACCGGCCAACGTTGGGAGGGAGGGAGGCCTGGACTCTGCAACGGCTTTACTGGAGTCCCTGCAAGGTACGCTCACTTCTAACAAAGAAGTCTATTTTATCCTTACATTAATGTTCGACAACCCATGCTTTTATGGAGCCCCGAAGAGCTACGTAGCTAGCTAAGGCAGATAGCCTAGGCAGATAGCCTTAGCTAGAGCTATTGTTTGCTAACACCATATGTGCCATTGTTTACGTTCAGTTTTTATTTTCTATAGTTGTTGTTGCTATTTAGTATTGTGCTGCAGTAGTTTGTGGAATTAACAAGTCATTTTGCTGTTCTAGATGATTACATTGGGACTAGTGAGGAGGAACATTCCCGAACAACGGGTGATGACAGTGTTCCGTCCACAACATCGTCATCGAATCCAGAACGGACCCCAGCTCGACCACAGACACCAGCCGAAGAACCGACACCAACTCAACCACCAACGCCGAGTGCCATCACGACACCGCAGCGTGTGGTTCTAGGTAAGAAATAGAAATGGCAAAACGACTGGAATTGTGTTTTGTTTTTTTAAACCTTGGATCATCCATCGTCAGTAATTAAAATAAGCTATACCACTGTGTGGAAATGCTCTGTTACAAGTAAAGTCTTAGCTAGTAAGCAGCTAGTACAGTTGTGTGTGACATCCTATCATATACATATATTTATATTAATTATCAACAGGCTGGACATAATGTAATTCACTTTCACAATCATTGTAAACATCTAGGGCCAGAACTTTCTTTAGTTCACCTTACTGTTGTTCTGTTTATACATGTTATTCTTATATCCTTGTGTGACCTGTACCTGTCCAGTGTTTTTTCCTTATTGCTAATTATTATCTTATTGTCACCCAGGCAAGAGGAAACGAGGAGGAGAGGATCGGGCCCAGCAGGAACGGCACCATGAACAGCACATGGCCCAGCAGGAACGGCACTTGGACTGGGCCAAAGCGTCTGCTGAGCGGAGATGGGAGTTGGATGCGGCCTTGAGAAGGGAGGAGGCCGTCTTGAGAAGGGAGGAGGCCGCTCAAGCAGAGACCTTCAACCTAGCCTTCCTGCGCACTCTTGGCGAGGACTGGGCAGCCGACTTGGCCCGTCTCCTCCGTGATACTTCAAATAACCTTAATAGTTATTGTACATATTATATTTTTTTTATATAGTTATTTTTTTAAATGCGACATTTGTACTTTCTTGTTTATTTATTGTCTTTAAAATGTTCATTTTATATTTATTTTTACAATGCCATGTATATTTATGCTAGCTGCAATACAGTTTTACATTTTTTATTTGTATTGTTTAATGGCATGCCTTTTTGATACAACATTTTTTTTTGTATTTTTATACTGCCATCAATAAAGTACTTCTTTGACTTATCTTATCTCTTGTTGATAATGAATTGCACCCAACAGAAAAACATCAGATTCACATAATCTTGATTTAGAGAAGATATAAACATACATGAATTTATAAAGCAATAGCAAACACCATCAGTTAGGAAAAAGCCCATAAGATAAAAATTAGTTTTAAGAGATTTAAAGCAAGAAATTGAGTTTGCTAGCTTGAGGTCCTCCTCTAAAACATTATTACATGTTTATTTTGTAATAGTATTAAGAATACATGATAAATATATAATACATGTAGTAGAAATTGCTCAATTGTAATACCCTCGTTCTACTAGACTCAAACAACCCATTCCTTACCGTTTTTGTTTTAGCCGTTTTAACTTTTAAATGCACTGTAAGGCGACCTTGGGTGTCCTGAAAGGCGCCTCGAAATAAAACGTATTATTATTATATATTTCAAAGACGAGAGAACAAAAGAAGAAACCTATAACCAATTCAAGCAAGCTTTTAACATGTCTAGAAGAAAGATTGAGGTTATATTTTAATATATTATTTTATGTTGTGGATACTTTAGCCTTTAGCCTTTAGCTTGAAATTCAAATATTTACTAAATATTCAATTCAGATAACATTTGTTTAAAACATTTGACAAACACATGTATATGAAAAAAAAAAAGATTTATTTATGTTCAATACAATGAATACAATACAATGCATATTTAGGTATTCAGGTAGCGCATCAAACCCTCTCTGATGTCAGTGCCCTCCTCCTCTGCACCTTGTGTGATCCATCAATAGCACCTACACACTGTGGGAGCCCCCACCGGTTCTCAGTGTAGGCAGCCATTTCTGCAAACTTCTGCCGGTCTGGTGAACGAATCCTCCATTGTTGTGTGTGTTTTGTGAGTTGTGTCGCATTGAAGATGACGCCACTGCAGTTTTACCCAGCGTCGCTCCGCCCAAAAAGCCCGCCAAAAAGCCGATCGCCCCGCCTACACTGCGTTGCTACCCCAGGTCCTAAACTGTAATGGAAATGCGCCACGGCCTCGGACGGCCAGCGAGGCAGCCCGAGGCCTGAGCGAGGACGCTTATGGCGCGTTTCCACTGCAGTTTAGGACCTGGGCTAGCAACGCAGTGTAGGCGGGGCGATCGGCTTTGTTTTTGTTCACATTTCGAGTTGTTCCGTCGAGCTCCCGCTGGATTTTATCATCCCCAATGAGATGAAGGAACGTCGTCACCTCCTCGGTCGACCACGGTGTGCTTTTCTTAGAAGTAGCCATTTTTGTAGCTCCTCCGTTTACAAAATGCTGTGTATAAAAATGCTGCAAGCTTGCTTCTAGATTACATTACATTACATTACATTGCATTTAGCTGACGCTTTTGTCCAAAGCGACTTACAATAAGTACATTCGACCAGGAAGACACAACCTTGAAGAAAACAGAATCATATAAGTATATCAGGTTTCATAGAGCCAAACATTTCAAGTGCTACTCAACTGGCTTTAGGTAATCCAGTCCTTTATTAGTATAAAAGTGCTTCGTTAATCGTTCTAACGCTCGAAGTGGAGTCGAAAGAGATGAGTTTTCAGTTTGCGCCGGAAGATGTGCAAGCTATCTGCCGTCCTGATGTCAATGGGGAGCTCATTCCACCATCTTGGAGCCAGGATAGCAAACCCACGTGTTTTCGCCGATGGGAACTTGGGTCCCCCTCGCAGCGAGGGCGCAACGAGTCGTTTGGCTGATGCAGAGCGTAGTGCACGCGCTGGGGTGTACGGTTTAACCATGTCCTGGATGTAGGAAGGGCCAGATCCATTCGCAGCACGGTAAGCAAGTACCAGTGTCTTGAAGTGGATTCTAGCAGTTACCGGAAGCCAGTGAAGGGAGCGGAAATATATATATGCGACGCTAGGGATGAACTCGCGCGCAATCTTGTGACGATTCTCTCTGACCAATCAGCAGTCGAGAGTGTTGACGTCACTAGTTCAGCCCTGGCCCTGGTCTGAGGGAACCACGATTTTATGAGGCCGGAAAAAGAGGGAAAAAGTACCCACTAGCCGGTACTAGGCTATATGGAAACGCCACCAAAAACCGGCCTGGCCGCTTGAGGACGGTTAAGGACGCTTAAACGGGGCTACCCGCTGCAGTGGAAACGCGCCATTAGGGACGCTTAAACGGGGCTACCCCGCTGCAGTGGAAATGTGCCATTAGTGGATGTATAAGATATAATCAGGCCTCTTGCATAGGCTTTGCAGGTTTCCCACAAAAGTGATGGATTGTCCGTTGATTGTAGGTTAATCGTCAGGAATACTTTAAATTCAGTTATAAAATAGGATATAAAGGTGTTGTCTCTCAGTATAACACTATCCAGTCTCCACTGCCTAGGCTGGTTTATTGGATTCTTAAGCTTTAAGTCCATAACCACGGTCGGATATAATTATACTCCCAATGTCACAAGATAGTATGGAATGCATGTCAGCTTTAGGTAGAAAAAATAGTCAAGCCTAGTCAGACTGAGGGAGCTGAGAAGAAAGTATATTCCTTGTTAGCGGGGTGAAGGTTCCTCCATACATCCTCAAATCCAAAATCTTTGCAAATAGAACGAAGAGCATTTGCTTGACGAGAGGGAGCATTAGTGCTATGAGGGAACCTGTCTATTAGTGGGTTCATTATACAATTAAAATCACCTCCTACAATGACTGTATTAGCTGTCATTTCTGCAAGTTCCATAAACATATTAGTAACGGTATCTGGTGGGTGACCTGGCGGATGATAAACATTCATAATAAGAATATCTTGCCCTTGTAAACTGCCCTTAATTATCACATAACGACCCTTCTTATCTTTTATATATTTTACAATTTTAAAGGGCAGATTCCGTTCCGAAGTATAGCGACACCCCTAAATGATGAATAGAATATTTGCCCATATGCTCCATGTTGAAGCCTTGAGTGTTCTGTGTCATCAAGGTGAGTTTCTTGGACTAATGCAATGTCTATATTTTCCTTCTGCAGAAAGGAAAATACTTTTCTGCGTTTTATGGGGCTATGAATCCCTCGTATGTTCCATGTACAAATCTTAAGCTTATCTACCATTATCTAAACTTTGTATGTAGTTATATGACTGGGAATGTCCTGACACCTTCTCCTCAATAAACATAATGATATAGTGACTGAGCTGTGTAACATAAAAAACTAATCAAAGCACATAAAATCCTAAACTAACACATAACAGAAATGGGGAAAAGTCCCTAAGTGTGTAGGGAACTCACTCTTCCTCCTTTCCACAGCCGAAAGCCCGGCACGCATAGGCGTGAGTATAATGCTTGGTTTGTGAATCCTGCCATCACGCTGATCTCTCGCGTAAAAGTCCCAGCTGCGGATCAGCAGTCTGCGCACCGCAGTGTTTTCCCCAACAGTAAACAATACCCATCTTCCTCAAGTCAAATTATCAGTGCCCGCTTATTATTCTTTGCAAGAAGTGAATTGTCCAGCATTGGGGTATAAGTTTCAGTTGGTTCCATCAAGCGATTCAGCAAATGCCACGGCACCCTCCGGTGTATCAAACCTCTTTTCTGTGCCGTTGATCATCACCTTGAGCGCAGGGCTCGAGCTTAAGGACGTCCCGTCGTCCCGGGGCCGAAAAAAATAGTGTCGGGAGGATAACAAATTATTTTGGGAAGAATTTGGGACGAGAGTTAAAATAAAAATACCCTGCTAACTCTACTACAAACGGCGATTAAAATGAAACCGACTGCACGTTTTGTGTAGCACACAGTTATTAAACCTCCTTGTCAACATAAACACACAAAACATTTAGCAACCCGCGAAATACACACACGTAGCTACAGCTGTGCCGCTGGCTGTCAGCCAGCCGCCCAGCTGGCTGTGCCCGCAAATTCCTGGCCCGCAAATTCGCGGATCTAGCTATGTACTACTGAGTGTGTGTATTTCGCGGGTTGAGTGATGTACAATGGCATCCCGTGGAGGAATTCTGAAATGTTTTACCGTTACATCACAAAAACGCACAGCAGAACCAGACCCTGGAGCGCCGGCCTCTTTATTTACTTACTCCTCTTCATCCCCTATGGTATAAGGCTGAGAAGAGAACCTCCATCGTATTTAGTCCTTAGCAATATGCTGCACCTCTCTCCATGTAGGGATGGGTACCGAGCCCCGGTATTAAACGGGCCCCGGGCCGAAATTATTAAAGACAGTGGTAACGTTAAGCTCCGACGTTATCGGACTTTTTATCGGTACTGGAGACATTTAAAAAATATATGTCATATGTATTATTGCTACATAACCATTATATCGCAGTTTTACTTTCGCCAACTCCGTTTCTAATATGCAATAAGACTATAACATGCGTCTATGATGTATTTTCAAGCTTTCCAATCCAGACGAGATCTCTCTCTCCCGTCTGTGTGCGAGGGGGCGGGGCCGTTTGTAAAGGTCTCCTGACTGTTACAGACTGTCATCCTGGTTAGTGGTTACTCTGGGTTCTGTCTTCAGGACAGTGTTGGATTTTTTTTGTTAATTGGATGGGACTTGATTGGATTCAATATTAGAGTAATTTTCTCGTTTGTGTGTTTTGTTTAAATATATTTGGCCTTTGTTTATGTGATTACTGATTTACTCAAATAAAAAGGTTGATGAATTATCATCTAATGATTTGTATGATGTTTTATTTATGTTAAAGGTCACTTTGAATGATTTCAACTAATGATAATGTAGAAAAACTAACATTTTAAATTTGGGACGGTCCACATTAATTTCGGGACGGCTTAGATTGTATTTCGGGACGATTCCGGGAGGATGGTAAGAAAAGTTAGTCGAGAGCCCTGCTTGAGCGTTGCCGGGTATATCAGCGCGTAATCTAAACTATTTTTTCTCAGCCGGTATTTAATCTCATCGAAGGCTTTGCGTTTTTTTACCACGGCCGCTGAGTAGTCATTGAAGAAAGAAATCCTTGGACCCGTGTGGGCGAGGTCGCCCGGCTCCGAACCAAGCTTGCAGGCAGCATTCATAACCAGTTGTTTGTCGGCAAAGTTGTGAGACTTCAGTATGATCGGCCTGGAGCGTTGTTTGGGGCCGGGCTTCGGTGCCATGGAGCGGTGTGCACGATCCAGCTTGATTCTCCCCTTCCTGGTCGTCATTTTAAGATAGTCTGGTAACCACTTTTCAACCAACATTACACCTCCGTCCTCGGTTATCCAAATCATCGATGTGCTCCAGCATTCCGCTCACCTGCTTCTCCAGGCGAGTCACTTTAGAGTTTAGACCGTAACGAATCAGCCGCAGTTTCCACGTTTGCAATTCTGTCCTCAGCCTCGCAAATACGGGATCCAAGCGCCTGAATTTGAGTTGTTTGATCCTTTATGGCTGCAAGCACTGTGTCTATTTTAGCGTTGAGAACATTATTGATGTCTTCTGTAATGTTGGCCATTGCTTTTAGAATATTTGGATCCGTGTTACTGCTGCTGCTAGCATGTTCAGGTGCGCTAGCGTGTGCTCCCTCGCCATGCTCCTCGTCCTCCGTCTCGGTCGTCTTTGCTTTCTTTTCTCTGTTCATGTTGTCCAAAGTTTTTGAAAAGTAGTACTCCAGGGTCATTATATAATAACAGCGATCATAAACTATGATAATTTCGCCATGAAATGTGATTGATAAACGGATTATTTAGGGCACTATTCTGGACTCCATGGGTACTACTCTCATCAATGATACGCGAGCGTTCACACACACTGAAGTTGTATAAACGTAGCCGGCCAATCAGGGGGAGCCTACCTGAATGTGCGCGCAGGCTCACAGTATATAAGGCAGCTACGCCTCCAGACTGTCATCCTTTTCTCTTCAGCGAGCGAGACAACACCTGACCAGAAAAGCATTCGAAAAAAACAAGTAAAAAGTATCTTACCTCCAGACAAGCAAATGGAAAGGAAACCTGCAGGAAACCTATGCCTGTCCCTCATGCCTGGCTTAATAGTGGGCGCCGATCCCCACCAGCTCTGTTTCGAGTGCCTGGGACCAGACTACGCCGAAGACGAGCTCGAGGTGGTGGACGTGGGAGACCAGGATATGGTCGAGGCGATGCCACCAACGTTCACCATCCCAGCCATGCGGGTTATGGCTCCGTTTGCTGAGGAGGAAGGAGATTACTTTGTGCCCCCACCACTGCCACCGAAGCCGGCTACCGCCACCAGGGGGGCGTTACTCACTCTGGGCCAACCTCTCCAGGTGGACTGTCTGACAAAGTCATACAGACTGTCCAGGCAGCAAGGGCGGGATCCACCACAGCCTGTTACAGGACAAAGTGGTTGGGATTCCTACAGTTACTGGAACTGGTGCAGCCGGGCGATTGGTTCACAAACCATCAACCTGAGGGACGCTTACTTTCATGTCGAAATTGCTAGAAATCCAAAACACAGTGCTTCAGCTGCTTCGTAACCATGGCATAAGGGTTTTATTTTATCTTAACAACCTCATAGTCATGGCCAGGTCCAGGGAATGGGCAGATGTTCCACACAGCCCAATTGATCTTACAGCTAACCAAGTTGGGGGTTTGCGGTCAATTGGAAGAAGAGTGGTCCCATACCTCACCAGCAGGTGGGGTATCTGGGGATTTTGCTCAATGCAGCCCCCATCGAGAGCAAGGGGTACGCCCCCATCGAGAGCGAGATGTATTCCCCCATCGAGAGAGAGGTGTACGCCCCATCGAGAAGGAGGGCAGGCTACGTGCCACTATGTCAGAGGACAGACAGACGTCCCTGCTTCAGGCAGTTTGCGGACTGAACGTTGGTGCGAGGAAAGGAGTCTAGAGCCTCTGTCCGTACATTGGGCTCTATTCTATCCTAGCTATAGCTACTGGTAGACAAGGGGCTTGCTCATGCCACAGTCAAGGTGTATGCAGCAGCCATCTCGTCCTGTCCTGCGGGATTTGGCGGCAGACCAGTCTTATGCCAACCGCTTATGAAGTGTTTTTTGCACCCAGTGGTGCATGTCTCCACCCCGCAATGGGAACTGCCATTGGTGCTCGAGGCTTTGGTCGAATAACCATTTGAGCCTCTGGAGCTCTCCTCCCTGAAGGCGCCATCATTGAAAACAGCTTTGCTGCTTGCCTTGACTTCGGGCAAGAGAGTATGCGAGCTGACCGCTCTGTCGGTGCACCCGAGTTGCCTTTTGATTCGGGGTGACCGTAGTGGGGCGACACTCAGACCGAACCCCTCCTTTGTTCCCAAGAACCTAAGGAGTTTGTTCAGGTCGAGGGCTATACAGTTAGACGGCTTTAGTCTTCCACCCCATACTGGGTACAGTGAGGCAAAATTGCACCTCCTCTGCCCAGTTCGTGCTCTGGCATGTTATGTTGGGCGAACGGCTTCTATTAGGCACACTGAACAGCTGTTTGTGTGTTTTGGGGATGGTGTGGCCGGTAAAGCTCTGTCCAAGAAACGCCTGACAGGATGGCTCTGCGAATGCATTTCACATGCCTATGGGCAGGCGGGGAGAGCCTTCCCCACACTCTACACGTGGTATGGCTGTGTCAAAAGCCTTGTTCAACAGCGTGAGTGTGGAGGACATATGCACGGTGGCGTCTTGGTCTATGCCAGTGGTTCTCAAAGTGGGGGGCGAGAGACCAGGAGGAAGAATGGTTATTAAAAAAAAAAGAAAAATCATATTTTGAAAAATTATTGATTTGAAAATAATATGATGCAGTACAGTACTATTACGTCTGGGTCTCTGTGTTTCATTAAAGCTCGGCTCTGTGTGTGGAACGAGCCATTTTGTGTGCGCGAGCGAGAGAGAGAGAGCGCGCACCGGTACCGGAGATCGTTGTTGTTAGCTTCTGGTGCTAGCGAGCTACGCTAACGGATATAAGGAGTTTTTTCAACAACAAAGTGGAGGAGAGTCCTTTCCTGTCAGACTGAGAGGCTCAGTGAACTAAAGGACTCTCTCAGTGTTATCTCAGTGGGTCTCAAAAGTTTTGGTCACCATTAATGTAAACAATAATTTCCGAGGCACACATTTATATGATCATTATAGTTATAACAAAATAAGAGAATAAATGAAAAACAGCTATGAAATACTATATGACAGTAAAACAAGAATAAAGTTTAAAAGGGTGATTTGTAAAATATCCATAAAGAAAAAGTAAATCTGTTTACAGTTCTGTTTAAAATGGATATTGAGAGATGTATCCATAGATCTCTTCATTTTGCTCTCAAAGTGCACCAGATTGATGCATTTAACTTCAATATTTAAAAATAAATAAAGTGTTGTGTTGTTTTTTTCTCCAAAGGGGGGGCCTGACAGAAAAAGTTTGAGAACCACTGGTCTACGCCAAGCCACTTCATAAGGTTTTATCTCTTAGACATGTCTGGCTCCTTTTCATCGTCTATGCTTGCCAGGGCAACACAGGACTGGTGAAAGGAGAGAGGCTGTGGGTCAGTAAGCTGTATCTGACCCCCCTGGACATAATGCACCTATGTTTTCCCATGCTCCTTAGGGACCCGGGAAACATGGTAAGCCCCATACAGGGCTGGAAGACTCTCCCCGCCTGCCCAAAGGCAGAAAACTGTTTCTGTCATCAGAAAAGCACAGACGGACATCACACTTGGTGCATTGGGTGTTTGTCTACCTTTACTGCAGTGTCTGCAGCGTCCTCTTTGTCTTCCCTGGAAAATGTGCCACTAGGTCCTTCCGTACATCCAGTGGAGGTTGTGATTTCTTGGATGGGGCCCCGTTTGGTGGACTCCCATCACCTGAGGATGGTCTCTTCTGAGCAATCAACGGGCTCCTTGATGTCACCGTCGCTGCTGGGCTCCTGTTGCCTGAAGATGGTCGTCCTCTCTTTGGTGTTTTCATGGGAGTTGTGTTCACCTGATTAGAACAAAAATACATTAGGATACAAGTCAAAAATATTACAGTGAAATATAATAAAAATATTACAAACGGCAAATAGCAGAAATGCATTCTTACCAGGATGAGAGAGGATGCTAGATCTGCATGAAACTGTCTCCTGTTCAGGATCTCCTGCTTTGCCATCTTTAGAGCTCTGCAGTCCCGCTTGTAGAGGAGCCAGGCGTTGATCACTGCAAGGATGATGGCGTGCCAGAAGATGTACACGTACCAGCGTCGGGACTTCATGGGGAACTTATATTTGGCCGTAAACGAGTCCAACAAATCCACACCTCCCATGTACTTGTTGTACGTAGACACAATGGAAGGCCTCTCAACTTCTACGTAGGTTTTGTTGGCTTTGTCCCAGCGTTGAATGTTCTGCACAGGGTGTGGTCCAGCAAAGGATGAGACAAGTGTGACTGCTCTGCTGTCATACCATTTGACAGCACAGATGTTGTGGTTGGTCTCCACTCGGATGTCAAAGCTTCCTCTCCCTTTTTTCTTCAAGCTCTTCTCCTCTTCAAGGTTGCAGTTGGGTAAGCGCACCTGCCTGGCTGTTCCCACATAATGAATCCCGTGATCAAGGAGCTTCACTGCCAATGGGACACAGGTGAAGTAGTTGTCTGCGTAGATCTTGTAGTTCTGACCTTCTGGAAGCGTGGAGGCAAGCTTCATCACAACATCACCTGACAATTCAAGTTCAGACTTGGCTCGTATCCCATTGACACTGCCTTCGTACACATCAAAGTCACAGATCATTCCAGAGATTCCAGTTCTCACCCACACTTTGAACCCCCATGGAGCCACCAGCCTGTCCTCCTACAAAAAACAACCAAATAGGTCGATTCTTTAAGCAGCTTAGATTACGACCCATAGCCACGTTTTAAAGTGTAGCACCTCTAGTGGTCGTGTAAGAAACAACATGCTCCCGTTTATTCGTTTATTCACAAATAACCCTCTCTGGAAAATCCTAAATTGTGGCATAGTTTGGCTATTAAAATGCTTTTTGATTAGATTTCTAGCGAGAAGTGTATATTGTACTTTAGAAACCACGTCCAGTGGTGGTGTAGGATCTATAGTTACGAAGATGATTTGAGGTCTCGTCAGGCTAACGTGTATGCAGCTTCCATGTAAAGTTAGCGTGGGTGAAAACAAAGGGCCAACAGGGTGGGTGGAGGGGGACTGGAGGACGGGCTTGGGCTGACAGCCCAGGGGCACAGCGGAGTTCAAGGATGGGGTCTCGGGTGGACGTCCCGGGGGCAAGGCAGAGTTCAAAAAGGGGAACTCGGGCAGACGGCCCGGGGGCAAGGCAGAGTCCAAGGTGGGACGAAGGCCACAGCGGGCGAACTCAGGGGGCCGAGCATGAGGGCGAAGGCAGTGGCAGGAAGAGTCAGGGAGCCGGCCCCGAGGGCGAAGGCAGCGGCAGGAAGAGTCAGGGGACCGGGCCCGAGGGCGAGGACCGCGGCACTCAGGGGGCTGGGCTCGAGGGCAAAGACCACGGCTCTCAGGGGGCCGGGCTCTCAGGGGGCCGGGCTCGAGGGCGAAGACCGCGGCTCTCAGGGGGCCGGGCTCGAGGGTGAAGACCAGACAGCTCCGGAGGCCGGGCAGGAAGGCGCTGACGAGACAGCGCCGGAGGCCGGGCAGGACCCGGTGTCGGCCGGACAGGAATCGGAGCTGGTAGGACAGGCCTCGGCAGGATCCCCCACGGAAGAGGACCAGGAGTTAGCAGGACCCCCGGCAGGAGAGCAGTCGATGGGACCCCCAACGGTACAGGACACGGGATTGGCAGGACCACCGGCAGAAGCGCAGTCGGCGGGACCCCCAACGGGACAGGACATAGGGTTGGCAGGACCCCCGGCAGGAGAGTGGTCGACAGGACCTCCAACGGGACTGGACATGGAGCCGGCAGGACCCCCAGCGGAACCTCCATCGGCACAGGACATAGGGTTGGCAGGACCCCCGGCAGGAGAGTCGTCGGCGGGACCTCCAACGGGACTGGACATAGGGTTGGCAGGACCCCCGGCAGGAGAGTAGTCGGCGGGACCCCCAACGGGACAGAACATGGAGTTGGCAGGACCCCCAGCGGAATCTCCAACGGGACGGGATATAGGGTTGGCAGGACCCCCGGCAGAAGAGTAGTCGGCGGGACCTCCAACGGCACAGGACACAGGGTTGGCAAGGACACAGGGTTGGCAAGACCCCCGGCAGAGGAGCAGTCGGCGGGACCCCCAACGGGACAAGACATGGAGTTGGCAGGACCCCCAGCGGAACCTCCAACGGCACCTCAGTAGGGACTTGAGTAGGAACTTGAGTTGGGACTGGAGAGGGGACTCGAGAGGGGGCTTGAGAGAGGACTTGAGAGGGGATTTGAGAGGGAACTCGAGAGGTGACTTGAGAGGGAACTCGAGAGATGACCTGAGAGGGGACTTGAGAGGAAACTGGAGAGGGGGCTCGAGAAGAAACTGGAGAGGGAACTCGAGATGGGACTAGAGTTGGGATTTGAGAAGGGACTAGAGGAGGGACTAGAGGAGGGACTAGAGGGGGGACTAGAGGGGGGACTTGAGATGGGACTAGAGTTGGTACCTGAGAAGTGACTAGAGAAGTGACTAGAGGTGGGACTGGAGAAGGGACTAGAGAAGTGACCTGAGGAGGGACTAGGGAAGGGACTAGATAAGGGACTTGGGAAGGGACTAGAGGGGGAACTCGAGAAGAGACTAGAGAGGGGACCAGAGAAGGAACTTGAGTTAGGACTCGAGAAAAGACTAGAGAAGGGACCAGAGATGGGACAAGAGATGGGACTATGGCAGCTGGGGCCAGAGCTGGGTCTGGAACCATGGCTGCTGGGGCCGGAACCATGGATCTTTGGACTCGGGCTGCTAACCTGGCCTTGCGACTCCTTCCTTTAGGAGCCGTTTGGAGGCTCTGTGTACCTCCAAAGGCCAGACGAGTTCCAGAGAACGGCTCCTGGACAGGAGCAGGCAATGGGGCAGAAGCCAGGGTTGACTCCAAACGGACCACACCGATGCGTGTGGTGTCATAACGGGAGTTGGGAGGCCTGGGGCTGTCAGGGAGGGGATAACACACCATGAGGAAATCCAAAATCTCGCCCGGTAAGAATCTCACCAAGCCTGGTTTCTCCATAGTTATCTGGCGCACCTCTGCCAGAGCAGCCTCTCGCTGCTGAACCCCGGACGCTCCCATCCATCGATCAGAGCAGGTAGCCAAAGAAAAAGTAAAATCCAACAATTCCTGCTCAAATGAATCTGCTGGGCCCATATTTGGTGAGTTCCTTCTGTCAGGGCTGAGTGAGGCAAGCAGGACCAAAATGCAGATGAACAGAAAAAATACCTTTATTTCAAGGCTACTGAAACAAACTTGGACAAAACAGTAATCTCACCCCGTGAACAACGTCCAAATACGACAAGGAACTCACAAAGACTAACAGAAAACACAGAACCTAAATACACACAGGACTAATCAAACAAACAAGAGACAGGTGAGGAGGGAGGAGAAAACACAGGGGCACCAGGTGAACACAATCGGGTAATCAGGGAGGGAAAACAGACAGAAAGCAACAGGCAGGAACGGGGGGTGAACACTTTACAAAATAAAACAGGAAACCAAAGACAGAAAAAGACAAAACACAACACGGACAGATCGTGACAGACGTATTGAGCGCTTGAACAAATGACATATTTGGTCGTAATAATTGGGCCTGAACAATCGGCATATTTGGTCGTATGAGTTGGAGGACTTGTTGGTGTGGCTTGCCTTGCATGTATTGCTTGATGCTGCTGAATTTCCCATTGAAAGGAATCATCATCTCATCCACAGAGTTGTGTTCTTCTGGTACCACCTGCAGGCATTTCTCTCTGAATGTATCAAGCCAGGGTCTGAGTTTCCAGAGTTTGTCTTTCTTTTCCATCTCTGACACTGTCAAGTTGTTTACTAAATGTAATGATGTCAACAGATATTGGAATCTGTTGCGTGCCATCACATCAGAAACAGGGGGGCACTGTGTGTCTGTCTCCCAGCCATTTCTGGCTTAGCCTATTATCATAATAAAAGGAATACCTACACCCATACATGCAGGTAAACCAGTTCAACAAGTCACACAATCCTGCCTATTATCATAATAAAAGCAATACCTACACCAATACATGCAGATAAACCAGTTCAACAAGTCACACAATGCTGTCTGGCTCATGATAAGAGGCTAATTATCATACTAAAAGGGTTACATCCAAGTGTCCCAACACATTTCAGAAATAACTGTTTCTGCCAGAACGAGAGAAGAGTTAAATGAATTGTTGTAACTAATTAACTGATAAGATACAAGTAGAGTTTAAAATATTGCTAGAGATATCATTTCACATAGTTTTATCAGAAATAATGTATTAATTTATTCAATTCTGGTCTTAATTCAAAATCTTAACAGAGGACACATTTAGAACTTAGTTATAGTGAATTATCAAAGACATTTTATTTCTATTTGTGTTTTATTTCCATATGTGAACATATAAGAAGGGCAATCTCCATGACAGGTGCTTATGCTATTTTGACTACCACACTGACCCAGTGTTGTGATATTACAACAAAGACATAAGCTGCTCAAAATATAATTTGATGAATGTATTCCACAAAAACTAAATATGTACATGTTCTAGACATTGTAATAAACAAAAACAAAAATATTTGAGGCATTTAACTTACTTGAATCTGACAAATCCAGTCCAATAAAACAAAGAGATGTTGCTTGTTTGAAGATTCTGAAGTTGTGTGAGTGTATGGCCAGAGGGCAGGACTTATAAACACATTTACTACCCAATAGCATTGTGAGGCTGAACAAAAGGTCCTATGGACTATGTAAATGTAGTCTTTAAAAAAACAAAACATTTACTGACTTTTTTAGGATAGCTTAAAAGTAATGTTGTAAAATTACAACAGTGGGCCTTACAGGGATAATCATACTAAGTCCAGGGACATGGCATGGCATTTGCCAAAACAAGTGAACAGAAAACGAATTGAAATAACAAGTTATTTCTGACCCCTGCTGGAGAAATGTGGTTATTACAACTTCAATCCAGCACCAAACCAATCCAATATAATAGTATATCACTACTGGTGGGTTTTTTTTAATTAAGAAGAAAAGAAACACATTGGGAATATTTTCTTCAGTTTATGTGTAGATTGTGAGCCCACTGCCGTCAATGACATTTGGAGAGTGCATTTATATTGTTGTTTGATTGTTTTCTCTACTGCTCCATTAGGGGACCAGCAGTAAACGGCTTTATGTGAGGCAGGCCCAGTTCTACGGGGGTGCATAAGGCTGCATTGCACCCTCAGTTGAGTCGTTATGCACCCTCATTTGAAAAATGAAAAGTGAAAAAAAAAAAACAAGTGAAAAATATTACCTATATAATAATAGTAGTATAATAAGAAGAAGAATTTAGTTGAAATAAAATACATTGTAATTGTGGTTAAATAACATTGTCTGCTGCATTTATTTGGTCAATTTAAACGGTAAGTAACGTTATTATGTCAGGTGTGCGTGACCTGTGCCACTGCGCGTTCGTCATCTGCAAGGTGCTTACACAGCAGTCAGTGATGGACATCAGAAAATTGTTGAAACAAACTAGCCCTAATCGCCAGCAGTAACACTGCATCTACTGCAGGTAATAACAGTTCAGATAATGGGGACGTTACCCGCGGCCACTGTCGTGCACAATAACGCCCGACTCGCCGGCTTTGCCCGCCTCGCCCACGGAGGCGGAGCAGCCGCAGCAGTCTTCGTTGCCCCAAACACCGCCACCCCTCAACGGCCCGCAAGTGCCAGAGGACCTCGGCAAAACAGAGCTTGCCCAGGTATATTTAAAAAGTACCCAACTCGCCTGTATAGTGGGGTAAGGCGCTCATTTTGCAGCTCATGGTTTCAAAACAGAGATTGGTTGGAATATTCATGTAAAAAAGATGCCATCTTCTGCTATGCATGTAGACATTTCGGTTCAAGTAAGTCAGATGCCTTCACCACAACTGGCTACAACAACTGGCGCCATGCTCGTATAGGCTACGTGATAAGGGACTGGGAAGGCATGAATCAAGCAAAGAGCACATAGATCAATAGATCTCTTCATTTTGCTCTCAAAGTGCACCAGATTGATGCTTTTAACTTCAATATTTAACAAATCTTCCCGGGGGAGCATGCCCCCGTACCCCCCTAGAGGAGGTGAGGACCCCTCTAGAGGGTGTTGGGTCCACTCCCTACTTATAAAAATAGCACTTTACCACTGCACCCTCTCTAATCTCAGATGCACCCTGAGTCATTTTGTTCTGGAACCGGGCCTGTGGTGAGGTATAAAGTAGGCTACACATTGTTTTATCTACCATGATTTTGAATAGTAAAAACATCGTTGAGGAGAGGACGCTGGCGCTTGTTTGTTCGCCGCTTCTCCTACGCCTCAGAGTTTTTATCTGCTTTTAAGCTATTTTATCTGCTTTTAAGCTATAGGCTATGGCTAAACTGGAATCTGTTTAACAAGTGCTTTTATATCTTAAACCTCGTGATTATTGACGGTTTTAGACCTGACGACTGTCGGGACTCACCTGCTGTATCGCCCAAATTCGCCGACTATCTCTGGCTGACTGCTTGCCTCTCTCCCGCTACTACTGTGATAGCAGGTGGACTCCCAATCCTCTGTTTCATTCCCAGACGCGAGGTATACTATCGGGATAGCCTTCCAGCTGTCTCGTTGCTGTTAGCCCTCGCTGCTAAGCACCGCTACCAAACTTCTTCGGCGCCCGACCTGTTGACATGTTGAGGTTTTCTATTCCCCAACTCCTGAGTTTCAACCACTCCAACGCTCCAACCGGCACCTCAGTCATTAAACAACTTGGACTTCTTCGTCGGCCTCGCTATATCCACCGAAGCCAAAGAAGAAGACAAACTGTATATTCCCAGCACGGAGTTGCAGATATTCCATCCATCCACTCTGTCTGCCGTCGTGTCGCACATCTGACGCGTCATCAGAGCCCGTTCATGGCGGGGTCAAATCGCGCCAGAAACATCGCGAGACCGCTGCATGAATACACGGAGAGCATCGCGAGACCGCCACACACGAAGGAGGCTGTAAAACGTGGAGTGGATTACAGCTTACTCCGGCCCCTACAGAGATTCACCACATCTTCCAAAGCCAAAATAGAACTTCTGAATAAACAATCCCTCAGTAATAAAGCATCCTTCATTCATGACCACATCACCGATGAGAAAATGGACTTCATGTGCCTCACGGAAACCTGGCATCAGCCAGAGGTTTACTCCACCCTCAATGAAGCTTGCCCTCCTGGCTACAGCTACTTGGAGAAAGCCCGCAGCACTGGTCGTGGTGGAGGCCTAGCTGTCATCTACCGAAAGGAATTGGAACTGTCACTCCTGCCCCTGCCTGTATTGTCCTCTTTTGAATGCCTTGCATTTAAATGTAAACCCCCCTTCGCCCTGACAATACTTCTGATCTACCGGCCACCCAAACCCAACTCAGCTTTCATCCCAGAGATACAAGACCTTCTCACTACGCTATGCACAACCTCTGCCAATATTATCATACTTGGAGATTTTAATATTCATGTCGACTCCCCCTCCTGCCACTTTGGCACTGAGTTTCTGCTACTTCTGGACTGCCTCAATCTGACACAGCATGTTAATGTCCCCACACACGCCAAGGGCCACACGCTCGACCTGGTCATCACAAACTCCGCCCCCATCAGCAATCTGCTAGTGTATGACATGGGGGTGTCTGACCACAAGACCATCTCTATGGAGCTCTCTTTCCAATCCCCACTCAGCATGCCCAAACGCCAAATCCGCTTCAGGAACCTGAGGAACATCAACCCGGACACCATGACCCTGGACCTCCAGCATCTTTCTTCCGCCAACTTCTCATCAGTAAATTAGTCAGTTGCATATTACAACCAGTCCCTTAACAGTCTCCTTGATCTGCACGCCCCCCTCAAAACCAGGATGGTCACCTTCTCGCGCTCAGCCCCATGGTACACCGGTGAACTGCGGAGAATGAAGACAGCTGGGCGTGTCCTTGAGCGGCGGCTCAAGGCCTCAGGACTCACTGTTCACCGGTTAGCCTATCGTGAACACCAGAAGGCCTACGCACAGTCCCTCAGAGATGCACGGTCCCAGTACTACTCCTCCCTCATCAACAACAGTACTGGAAACTCCAAGCAACTCTTCTCCACCATAAACCACCTCCTCAAACCCCAAAGTCCTCTACACTCCGACTCCACTGAGAAGCAGTGTAGCAACTTTGCCGCCTTCTTCACTAACAATGTTGATACTATCTGCTCCCTTCTCTCTAGCCCCTCTGCACCTCCAGTTACAACTGCTGACCCACAGCCTGGGACAACCCAGCCTCTTCGCTGTTTCACGGACATCTCTCAGAGAGAGGTTGAGGGCATCGTTAGGAGGATGAAGCCCTCCACCTGTGTCCTGGACCCCCTTCCGTCAGCTCTTGTAAAATCGTACATCTGTGCCATGAGCCCCATGATCACTAAGATCGTAAACCTCTCACTCCAGGCTGGCCATGTCCCCTCTGCCCTAAAAAACGCTGTCATCAAACCTCGTCTCAAAAAACCCTCCCTTGACCCGGGAGTCCTGGCCAACTACAGACCCATTTCCAACCTTCCTTTTCTATCAAAGGTGCTGGAAAAACTAGTTGCTGCTCAGCTCCAGGACCATCTAAACTCCAACAACTTATTTGAGAAGTTCCAGTCTGGTTTCCGCTCAGGCCACAGCACAGAAACTGCCCTGGTCAGGGTCACCAACGACCTGCTGATGACGGCTGATGCTGACTCTCTCTCTCTCCTCATCCTCCTCGATCTCACTGCAGCTTTCGACACCGTCGATCACGGCATCCTCCTCCATCGTCTGCACTCCACCCTCGGACTCTCTGACTCTCCCCTTGACTGGTTCAGATCATACCTCACCGGGAGAACAGAGTACGTCTCCTTGGGCGAGGCAGAGTCGGGTACCCACAACGTCACCTGTGGTGTCCCTCAAGGATCAGTTCTCGGCCCCACCCTCTTCACACTCTACATCAGGCATCCTCAAACTACGGACTCCGGTCCGGATCCGGACCGAACCACCACTGTCTCCGGACTCTGAGCAAATTATACTTTTCATATGTATTATCTCTCTGTATTATATGTGAGACATCGCCACAACGCATTCGCAACGAGTCAAAATTCTCCGCTATGTCCACTGCAAACAGCGCTCTGCATGTCTGACTCTTCCACTGTGTTCCACCTGTGTGTGTCAACGCTTTGGTCCAATCACATTCAGTAGCAAGTCAGCGTTTTTTCCCCCCACCAACAGTCTGCCAATCAGAGGCACAGGAGGGCGGGTCTTCGCGGAATGAAAATGCGTATGTCGTCTCTTTCAACCTGTCTGAGTCAGCGCGGGAGTTATAATAACAAATAAATAAAGTCAGAGCGAGAGTTGACAGCGCATCTAGTTGCATGTAGCTATACTTAGTTTCAGCTGTAGCCGAGTGTAGTTAGTAAAGCTGGAAACATTGCATGTTCAAAGATGACCAATAAAAGAAAAGTCGACAGTGAAAACCGGCAATTCAAAGATGAGTGGACTGAAAAATATGCGTTCATCCTCCCTCCAGCAAGCACCAAACCAATGTGCCTAATATGCCAAGAAACGGTAGCTCTTGTGAAGAGTGGCAATTTGAAACGGCATTATGAAACGA